GCGTTGCGGCGAAGCTCGGGGCCTGCGGCTTGGCGACCTTCGGGGACATGATTCCTCCGCTTGTAGTGCGTTAGGGGTTGGCATTGGGCCCAACCTATCTCGGGCCGCCACGCGCATGCCCAGCCTCTTAAAGGCGGGCCTAACATGGGTCGACCTCCCTCTATCACCCTCTCGATGGTTATCTTGGCGGATAACACCCCCTCCCCGCGTGTCCGATGGTCGGGGTGAGTTGACATCCTCTTCGATTTGAGTGTTGAGTGCCCGAGGTAGTCGGGTGCTTGGACCGGTGCGCCCCTTGAGGGAGGTGGTGGCGGGGTCGGCATCCTTTGTGTGGCCTCCAGCCCGTCGTGCGCACCTCCTTGTGGACCCTCTGTGAGGTGAGCCAAAGTCGTAGAGGATTGCTAAAGGGTAACCGCCCCCTCCTGTAGCGGGGCGAGATTTGGAGGAGGGGCGATGGAAGCTGGCACCCCACCGCTGCGATGGTTGGTGAGGTGATCTCTTAAGTCCCCGACCTAGTGGAGGCGGTCGGTTGGAGGCTGGGGGCCCCGTTGGAGCCGTTCTCGGTTGCAGCGAGCTGGGTGCCACGGGAACCGTTGGTGTGGTCGAGAGTTGGATCTCGACCTTATCATGGTAGCTGGTCGCGGTGGACCACTGAATGTAGAATATGCTTGAGCTGGTACAGCAGCTCTCAACAAGAGCACCAATGATGGATTTAATTGACCTAGGGTAGACCCGAATCAATGAATCCAGATAAGAATGTGTACGAAATAAATAATATAACGCAGAGATGTCGTAAGGTCGCAGGGACCGTATATTGTATTAATTGTCGCTAATAAGCTATTACAAGACTTGATTAGGACAATAATGCTAGAAGATAGTAATTCAAGAATATATTGTGTTGTGTCCGATGATGATCAGGGGTCCTTTGTTAGGACAAGGAGGGAGCTTTTTATACCAGCTCAACCCCCAACCGCACCCCTAGAACCGAGGGTGGTTAGATCGGCCCGCTTTGACCGCGTCCCCTCCGGGACCGGGTCCAAAGCGGGGCGACTCGGCATGGCCGAGCTGGGCATGTGCCGAGCTCGGGCTAGCCGAGTCCACCATGGACCGGCTCGGCTCGGCAGTAGCCGGGTCCATGGTGACGAGCTCGGGTGTACCGAGCTCATCCGTGGCCGGGCTTGGCCCATGGCCGAGTTGCTTTGGACCGACCCGGCCACGGCCCAAGGGGTTGAACCGAGGCGCCTCGGGTCCGTTTCTCCGGGTCGTTTCGTTCCGGGTCCAATATATCCATCACGTCTATCAGACTGAGTTCATCATTAATGTTTGATAGTTTTAGTAAAAACAAAACATGGGGTTAATTTTTTACAAATTTTTAAATTTATAATATTTATAAAATTAACCATTCTCTCTTTTTTATTTTTCAACAACTCTTAATCGTTGATCTATATAATAGATTGATAAAATTCTTAATTATTGTATTGTAATTCAAATGTAGTGTGTCATACAAAGAGGAACTACCGAATGCAGCTATTATGTGTAGAAATTCATGTTGGAAATTGTTTCCCGCCAAGCATATACAAAGGAATGAATAAAGCATGTAATTTAATAAAATATCTTTTTGATGAATGGGTTAATAAAATGCTTCTTTGATGTTGATAATTTAAGTTTCAAATTATTATTATTATTATTAATTACTATCAATTGTAGAATTTATTAGCTTGATTAATTGTGATATTTATTAGTTTGATTAATTAAGAAATTTATTAGCTTATCAATTGTGAGATTTTAATTTGAATATCAAATTGTTGCACGGATTCTAAAAATTGGTGTGAATTGTAAAATTGTACATGTTTTAGTTGGAAATCATAAAATAAATTTAATAATTAAAAAAATATTATAAATGACGTCGGTTTTTTTTAAGCAAACCGACGTTGTATAATAATTTTTTAAAAAAAAAATAAAATAAAAAACTAAATTAACATACAACTTCGTTTTTTTTTGTTTTTTTTTTTGTTTTTTTTTTTTTTTAAATCGACGTCGTATAATTTTTTTAGTTTTTTAAAATAACACATATGACATTTGGGTTTTTAATAAAAACTGACGTCGTATGGTATTTTTATTTTTAATAAACAACGTCGGTTTTTTAATAAAAAAATCGACATCGTATATTGAATTTTAAAAATTAAAAAAAAAACATGTAATGTCAGTTTTTTGTAACTGACATCGTATCATTTATTTATTATGTCCGCTAGATCAACGTCGAAAAAAATTAACATTAAAAGTGTCAAAAAGTTAACGTTAAAAGTGTTATTTATAGTTGTGCATGTATATGGCTTTCAAGTTGAGTGAAAGTCAAATGAGGGACAGCTAGCTAGTTGGATTATATTTGTTATTATTTTATGAGTAAAAGATATTTTTGGTCCTAGACTTATAGTGACTTGGACAATTTTAGTCCTTTACAAAAAAATTTGCCATTTTATGGACAGGGTTATTGTGGCGATGACATTTTTGGTCCTCTGTCTATATTTTTGTTAGATAACCGTCTGAGAGAGGGGTAATTACGTCAATTTAGACTATCTCCTTCTATCTATTATATCTATGTGTTTTTGTTTTCTTCTCGGTCATAATTCGAAGGAGTCGAAGAGTCCAAGTTGCAGTAAATGCATGGTTGTGGGCAGAGCATTTCGTAGTGCAAAACTACAAATAAATGAGGGTCAGAGTAAAGGCATGGTTGTGGGACCAAAATCGTCCATCTCACAATAAAGTGATAGCCTAAATTGACGTAAGTGCCCCTCTCTCATACGGTTATCTAACAGAAATATAGACGGAGGACCAAAAATGTCCTCGCCACAATAACTCTGTCCATAAAATAACAACTTTTTTTATAAAGGACTAAAATTGTCCAAGCCACTATAAGTCTAAGACCAAAAATGTCTTTTACTCTTATTTTATTTATTTGAAATGCAATTGAATTGAAGGACATCACTTTCAGTGTTCGACTTAGTCAAAAACTCTACGCCTCAGCCTTCAGCTGCCAATACACAGTGAGTAACATTATCTCACATATAGGGGCAAACGTGCACCATTTCTGCTTATTTCTTACACTTAATGCTACGCACTGCATTTCAAGGCAACTTCATAATCAATTTGACCAGAGACTAATCTAGATCTTTCAAACAATCAATTTTCCTTTTTTTTTTTTTAACATTATTTTGCAGAATTGTAAAACAAACAAAAATATGAGTATAGATATTTATTAATTGTTTAATTAATTGGATAATATAATACGGAGTAGTATATATAAAATCTAAATAAAAACATAATAAATCTCAATTAGGTTATACCCCTAATTTATGTCTGTTTTTTTTTTTTTTTTTTCAGATTTGAATATTTTGATGTGGAGTTGTAGAGCTTGGTCCATTCCGACCCCCTTAGTTGTGAAACATTTATAGTGGGGAAGATGTAGGCCCCGTTTAGTAAAATAGTTAGCCTATCAGTTAATTTTGACTTATTTGACCATTATTAGCTGTTTGACTTTGTTAAACAATCAATATGAGTGTTTGATTAATTAGCTTTTTGTAATAATTTATACTTCAAAATGCTAAAATTCAAAAAGATGTGCAAAGTAGCTTTTTCAATCAGTTTTTTGTATATAATCAGCTAACAACTAATTTACCAAATACTTTTCCACAATCAGCTAATATTATTAACTAGTTAAACTCACTAACCCAATCAGCTAACAATCATTTATCAAACACTCTCTTACTGTAGAGGACAAGACATTCGTGATGTGTTAACGATTATTTGTGAAATAATAACTAATCACGACAAATAATAAAATGTTATAAATATGTCTTGGTTGAATAATACTGAAATAGTAGAGATTTATGGTAAATAATAATGGTACAATTGTGTAATAATGTTCCAGAAATCATTTTGATTGACACTAATTTTTTTTTTTTTATCACTAATATGAAATAGTTAATCTTGCGATTCAAGACATTTATTTATCTTCCAATCAATTAAGGGGTAATCTCATAAGCATACAAACTAAAGTATGCAAACATGTCAAATTAATCAACTTGGATGACAATTAATTTCTGGGGGGGGGGGGGGGGGGGGGGGTGGGGGTGGTATCAAGGAAATTTATAATAGTGCACACATCTTATGACTTTTAACCCATTTTTCTATTTCATTAATTATACATATATAGCCCCTAAAAACTATACAACCACAATTTCAACTCTCAAACAGTCAAACCAATTAAAAAGTAATATCTAAAGACTAACATCAACATCGGTAAGTACTCAATATTTGAATTCTTTGTCCGAACAAGTACGGTAATGTTGTTTGTTTAGTTTTTTAAACATTTTTTGTTACAGTGTATGTTTGATGTTGTTATTTTTGGGTTACCTGGAAAATCAATAGTCATTATCGATCCAAGGGTACACATTAGATACGACCTTGTGTGACGAGTTTAACCGAGAGACAGAGAGAGTATTCGGGTAATGAGGGAAATCTACCGCCACTAGAGGGTAAGACCCTGTGTGACCTCACTTTTTTTTTTTTTTTTTTTTTGAGTGAGGAGAGAAACTCGCAGTCACTACTCGAAGGTGTGTACCGGCTAAACCCAGTCTTATGACCCTACTTGACAAAGGACCACAATGAGATAAACCACTCTAGGTTGTCCATAATTGACCAGCTGAGATCCTACTTATACAGAACCACAATGAGGTAAACTAGTCTAGATTGTCCATAGCTGGCCGACTCAAATTAAGAAAGCCAATAATAAGCCGCTCATGTTGAGAATCGAACTTATAGCCTTACGGTTACTAAGCCAATAGTACAATCTGATTAACTTGGTTGGAGTACAGTTTCACCCACAGGTCATTCATTTGGGGGTATTTTTTACCTTGTTGGATTAGCTTATTTATGGGTACAATTTAATATGATTAGAGAAAATAATACCAAAAAAAAGGTACATATTTTCCATTAATGGTATTATCTAATAGTCTAACCAAAAAGATTTCGTTTCTACACTGAATCACTCGTAGGCCATACGCCCACGTGAAGGCCTTGCCCCTCATGCATGAAAACGATGGCTACCATTAGCTCCTCAACTTTCTTCATCTTCTTAATCAACTTGGAAGTAACATTTAACCTAATCCTTTCTACGTACTTCTATATATGTCTTGTCGAATCCTTCCTATTTCTTCATCATCATCAAACTTCCCGAATGGATTACTTCAATTCCCAGCAGGCCCGGAAAACCCTACTCAAGTGCCACAACAAGCGGCTCACCCAGGATCAAGTCCGCCTCCTGGAGATCAGCTTCAAGGCCAACACCAAGCTCGACCCGGACCGGAAGTCGCAGCTGGCGCAGGAGCTCGGGCTGCCGCCGCGCCAGGTGGCGATATGGTACCAGAACAAGCGGGCGCGGTGGAAGAACCAGAGCCTGGAGGTGGACCACAAGGCCATGCAGCAGCGTCTCAACGGCGTGGCGGCGGAGAACCAGCGGCTCGAGAGGGAGGTTCACCGCCTCAGGGAGGAGCTCAGCCGGACGCAGGAAATGCTCTTCTCCCTCAACGCCACCGCCTACTCGTCTCTCTCCAGCTCCGGCGATGACGGCGGGAGCTGCTCCGATTTGCTGCATGATTCCAAGGACCTTTATGCTTGTCTGATTGACGATCATGAAGGGCAGATTGGGAAATCCGCTGATGCCCACAACTTCTTTCGTCTAGCTGGCCCCCACGGGTAGCTCAGTTGGTTCGATTCATAGCTTAGAAGCTTGTACTATACATGCAGTGTGATGGATGGACTAATTGCTTTATTTTATTTTAATTTACAATCAAAGTGGCACTTTTCTTATCTTTTTACGTCTTGACGTTATTATAGGATAAGATTGAATGGAACATACAGTCTTTGAAAAGATTATTATATGTCCATTCTTGTCCCACCCCCTTAGAAAAGAACAAAGACAAGAAAACAGTGCATATATAGTAGCTGAGGTTACTCTTTTATACATATATGCCTATACTGGTTATCTTCATCTGATTGAACTTCTGTAGATGATGGATTTTGTAGTACTATAAATTCACCCCTACATTTCTTCTTTAGTCTTAGGTTTTGTGATCATGGGAAAAATGTCGTGTACTTGTAATGATATTGCCTTACTGCCACGTATAGTGCTAATATACTTCTCTTGTCAACAGATTATCCTGAACTAAAAGTCAAGTCTTTCTCTTGTAAAATTGCATATTCAATTCACTTCTAAAGTATATTAACTCGGGATGGAGTTAGGAATTTGAGTTGTTTAAGTATGAAGTCGAGAATTCAAATCCATGCATCATTGGGATCGAGCTAGACTCATGATAGAATTCATATGATCGAGCTCTGGTACGTTCTTGAGAGATTATAGAACAATTGACAGAAATAAATCACTCCTTGCTAATTAAATGTAGATTGCAATATTACAGGCAACAAAAAATGTGAAGCTAAGAATCAGTTCTTGATTTGAACGAAGTTAGACTGATCTGCTCCATTTTCTGGAAGAGATTAATCCAATCCTTACAGTGCTATATCAAGAAGTACTTCTCTTGAGGCTTTGGGATAGCTGCTTCCCATGGCACTAGGAATGGCTTGAGGCTTTAAGAGAACCCGGGCCTCGTTGCCACTGAGAGGAGTAGTACTGGTGGTTTCACCGTGGGAGGAATCGCGTTCTTCACCTGAGGCAGCGCTTCTTCTTCCCTCGGATAAGGGAAACCCGAAGATTCTGCAGGAGGATTGGGGGCCGAGAAGGTGTGAAAACCCAGATTGCTTATGAAATGTTGCGGGAGCAGGAGAGGTTGCTTGCTGAAACATTAGCACAGAAGGGGGGGAAACGAGGGGGGAAGATGGCTGCTGCTGCTGCATTGGAGGGTGGTGATTGGGGATCGGTGTAGACGACCATCTAGTTGAGTGGCTTGGCACTTGAATTCCAACAATGATCCCGGACCGATGGGGTTGCTGCAAATGGTTGGTGGCAATGCCGCCTCTCCTGTATGGTGGGCTATTAAGATATGTTTCTTGACCTTGCAAGACCTTATTGAACCGGCAAGATTCAGCAAAGCCAATGCTTTCTTTTGATTTACCAGCGTAGTCTCCGAGCAGAGCTCTAACGTTTCTGCCTCTTGTAGAAACCCCGGAACTATCAAAACCGGGGAAGTACACTGCACGTTGAGGATCAGAGCCATCGTAAGGCTTATTTACTTGAAAAACTTCTTGACCTTGCAAGACCGGCAATCTGGAAGGGTTCCGGATGTCTAATACAACTGTCCTGTCTACAAGAAGTGAATGAGAGTTAGCAACATTGTAGAGAGATGTTGGCTACTATGCACAAAAAGGATAAAAGCGTAAAAAAGACCTCCATGAACCCGAAAATCTTCCTCTCCAATCCTGGTCCTCTTTGCAGCAGGTACAACCACGTTGATCGGTCCAGTAACTGTTCCAGTAGGTTCAATTTCCCACGGTGAAACCCTGTTATGTCTAGTGTCATCTGGATCGTCCCACCTCACCTGAAGATAAGATCGAGTATCATCTTAGATGCTTAGATAACCATCGTTTTATCATTGATTTCCCACTCATTACATTCTCATACCATAGAAAACTAATAGGCTATGTAAACGAGGCAAAATTTCAACTAAATTATGTCATGATTAAGTTATATGCAAGTGGAATAATATGTGGTATGAGTCTATGACAAACGGCATACCAATAAGCTTCTCCATTTTGAACCAGGCCATCGAACGGGGTCCACATCACCAACCCCAATTACAAGTCCAGTGTACCTGCCAAAAAAATTAAAGCATTAAACACCAGGATAATATGTATTTGATCAAGATGCAAGGGATATACATATATATATATATATTTATGAACCAACCTTCTTTCTGCAGCATCTTCTGTTTCAAAATGCAACTTAAACCTCACTCCGGGGGCAAAGGGATGCAAAAGGCTTCTAGAGAATTTGCGGTAAGGTACAACGAATTTTGATAGGCTATCTCTGTAAATGCACGTGTTACAAGATGAGAATATACGTTAAACTCATGACTTGGTAGGTTTTCCTCTAAATAAGTTTTAAGAGTATAAAACAAAAAAATTACTGCCGTAAGAACAAAAAATCAACAATGACGTCTTCAAGTTGTGAAGTATGTATGAGACGCTAACAGAAATTGCATAAGGAAGCCTTCTATTACACGTTGATTACTTTTGCAATTAATCAAATTATTTAGAAAGCATATATATAGGTCATAGAGAGTAATTCGTGTAATACCTCGGGTTGTAGCAGACATTAAAAACGCCTCTTGTAGATGTTGCGTTAACGACATCCAATATGCCACTGACATTCAGCCGTTGGCTGAAGGGACCTAAAGCGGAAGAAGGTGAACCAAATTTAGCTTGAGCTGCTCTTCTGATTCCAAGCCTAAGTTCCCCGTCCCCACTCCTGTAACAAATTAAATAATGGCGAGATATAAGAAAGAAAATAACAGATTTCTCGAAACTATTGTAGGTTCTAAGATTCGTACCTTAGGAAAAGCACAGCGTCTCCTGAAACAAGTTTCTTCTTATTGACGAATGCACTCCAACCCGTGGTAAGTAAATGTCTCCTCGGCTGCCCTGCTCGAGTAACGTAACAATTTGATCATTTAATCTGCAGAATAACATCTGATCTAGAAGGAACCATATTGTCAGATTGTTGTTAGTTTATACCCCTGTAGATGTGACGAAATTTCCATGTGATCCCGTGAAGATCCCTTGCTACTAACTCCTGTGAGGGCCTCTGTTGTTTATAATCCTGCCAACACCAGATATATATAAAAGCGTGTTTTCTGAAAAACGATACTAAATTATGAAGTAAACTCTCGTTAAAACTACCAGAGGAGGAAAGCAATCTTCAGCAGCTCGGCGAGGGACAGAAAAACCACCGTGGGTGCTGGTATCCGAAGCGGTGAGCGTCTTGCAAAACATATGCGGGGGCGTTCTTGATTTCCCATCGCCTTCGGTATCCACTTCCTCGTTATCTACCTCAACTTCACCATTTCTCCATTTCTGCTCAATCTGGGAAATTAAAGGGCGCAGATTGGGCAAAAATAATTAATTCAAAACATATTCCACATTGGCCATTATCACACATGTTGCGGGTTTTGGGAGACAGGAATTTGAAATGCCCAGATGGGAAACAATTGCCTTTTTTAGTCCTAATAATGCAGGAGATATATCTACTAAAATTTCCATATAAATGGAGCCAAGAGCTTTCAACTTTCATTGCCTGTGATGACAACAAAGATTCCTTAAAATGCTTCAACCTAATCTTCTTCAGAACATATATAAAACAGAATATTAGGGGAAATCATTAACTTTGTATAGATTATTGGAACCATACCAGGTTGTCTGGAACCAGTGACACTTGTGCATAGACCTCATCAGTAGCTACCTCAGCCTACATTTAATCAATAAAAAGAATAATAATACTGTGCACAAATTAAATATCACAAATAGCAATTATATTCTCCACTACCAAAAATCAACAACAGCCTGTTCTGGAAAATTTGCCCAAAATATATACCAGAAAATGTTAAGTTGTACCTACTAAATATGCATAATCACAAAAAGAAATGATAATAATACTAACATGGAGCTTGACGTCGACGACGCGGCAGAAGACGTGAGGAGGGAGGTTATACGCGACGGCAGGGTAGTCGGAGAGGTGCTCCAGGTGGCCCTGCGCCAGATACACGACGGCGCTTCCTTTCTTCGGCAACGAAATCAACGGCCCCGCACAGGCGTGCCAGAGCTCCATACACAACAACCCCGCCGCCGGCGGGGGAGAAGACTCCGTCAAATCCGAATTATCCGGCGACGTCGCCGCCGCCGTTTCTTCCCCGTCGACGTCGCCATTGTTCACGGTGTTCAGATCGATTAATCCGCTCATCATCATCATCCTCCTCTCTCTAAACCCTACGATTCACCGCAAAATTATTGAAGAAATCAGCAATAATCTCCTCCCAATAATCCTATATATCCGCACACACCTCGGAATATTCACAGACAAAACACATACATATAATAAAGCGTGCACCTAAGCTACCGGAGACACCGCAACCGCATTGCGAAAAGGAGAAAAGCGTCTGTTAGTTTTGTTTCTCGCTCTACCTCAGGGGAAAGTAAAATGCTTTTCCTTTACAAAATCAAATCACACTTTATACGAGCCTCTATCTTTCTCTCTCTCTCTCTCTCTCTCTCTCTTTCTCTCTCTTTACAGCTAGAGTACGCGATACATACAGAGCAGCGTGTATGTATAGGCGCGGTGGCCCTGCGAAGAGCAGCGGCTGCAGAGAGCAGCGCTGCAACTGCTGGGTGAAGCGAAAGAGAGAATCAGAAAGAGATATCGAGAGAGAGAGACAGTTTGTACATATGTATTTGTATTTTTTTGGTGAGTGTATAATTCGGAGGAATTTAGAAAACGCCCTGTATTTTCGGGGGGATGTCCGAATCCGAGTCATTACAATCTCTCTCGTGTCGTTTTTAGATTAATTATTAGATTATTAATTAGTTTAATTACTTGTCGCGTTGACTAAATGTGGATAATCACTCCGCAGCTTTTGTATAGCCGTTTCGGGATTAAGGTACCGATTTACGGGATTCTACCAAGTCCTATGTTTAATGTTTGTACTACTTTAATTTATTACGTTATTTGAGGTCAACGTGTGAACAAAGCAGTAAGCAAATACGGAGTAGTTAAATTGAGTTGTACGAAGAAGTACTAGTTTTAAATGTCTCAAAATTTTTGAAAAAAATGTCAAATTAGGAAAGATTTTTTTTTAATAATTAAATTATTGAACTTAAAACATGTGTAGTTGAATCACTAAATAAATAAAATATGTAAAAATGAGATTTTTTTATAATTTCCCTCAATGCAATTTGAGTTGAAAAATAATGATGAGCAAAGGTTTAATAAAAAATTATTACTTCTTTATGAATTTATTTAATATTTAGCTTTTATATTCAGATTTTGTATGTGTCAGTATTTTATGTGTTCTCTTAATTTCATAATTAGTAATCGGCTGTAATACTTTTTATGATCATAAGTCACATTGAATGTATAATATCTATTCGCAAAGGTTTTATACAAATATCATTATCCAACTTACTAAGAACAAAAAAAATTAAATTAAATTGTAATCCTTGAAAGAGTAATCAAGTGAGTGGAACATAATTCATTGTCAATACATCTTTGTTGAACTCGTCACACATAATGTTTTAGGTGAGTTATATAATGACTATTACATAGGTTTATCTAGTGTACACCGCTAGTGATTGTACATTTTTTTAGAGTTAATACCCAAAATGGTCCTTCAACTATGCCATAATTATCAATTTGGTCCTCAACTACCATTCTTACCCAATTAAGTCCTCAACTATGTAACTTTTACTCAATTAAGTCCTCAACTATACAATTCTTACCCAATTTAGTCCTCAACTATACAATTCTTACCCAATTTAGTCCTCTGTATTAATTTGACTGTTTGTTGACTGTCAAAAGTCGGGATAAAATTATAATTTTACAAGATTTCTCCTTCCTCTCCATTTAGCAGCGCCAAACTATGCAGCAATATACTCCGATCAAATTTCGATCGTCAAAAAATCGTTGGAAATCAAATTCATGGGCTATCCGATGCATAACCACTACTTCGATACTGACAGGTTTAGAATCCAACCGGAGCTTATTGCTACATGGTTTGGCGCTGCTAAATGAGGAGGAAGGAGAAAACTTGTAAAATTACAACTTTATTTCCACTTTTGACAGTCAACAAACAGTCAAATTGACAAATGACTAAATTGGGTAAAAATTGTATAGTTGAGGACTTAATTGGGTAAAAATGATAGTCGAGGACCAAATTAGTAATTACGACATAGTCGATGGACTATTTTGGGTATTAACTCATTTTTTTATTATCCAAATTACACATAATTAAAATGAAAATGGCAAAAAAAATGGCATATGCTTTTTTCCCTTTATGATGTCATAAGAAATACAAAGTTTCATTTTTCAACTTAAAAAAAAAAATTGAAATTAAAGTTGAGAGTTTTTTTAGTGAGTGATATAATAACTATATCACATAAGTTTGTCTAGTAGGTGTAAATACTTGTCACACATTTTTTTTTGGTGAATTATTTAATGACTATTACATAGTTAATCTAGTTTACACCACGGGTGAATGTGAATTTTTCTTATTATCCAAATTACACATAATCAAAATGAAAATGGCCAAAAAAAAAAAGCATATGCTTTTTTCCCTTTATGATGCCATAAGAAATAAAAAGTTTCATTTTTTAAACTAAAAAAAATAATCCGAAATTAAAGTTGGGACTTTATATATATATATATATATATATATATATATATATATATATATATATATATATATATAGAGAGAGAGAGAGAGAGAGAGAGAGGAAAATGATACATTACTCTCATGGAATAAAATTTTCGTCATTTATCATGATTTGATTTATAGAAGATAAAGAAAGCAATATAACATCTAAGTGGGGAGTAAGAAATTGAGTAAAAAGTGGGAGTATGCGTAAGAGCATCCATATCAGTGGATTTTTTGTGGTTTTTTTGTGGGATCCAGTGTGATGTGGATGTGAGAGAAGAATGAGAGAGGGTGTGTTTTTTTCCTGCAAATGAATTGTTTTTTGTGGGTCCTAATGAGAGAAAAAAAATAGGGGAAGGAGTTGTTGTGCGCGTTTGCACACAGCAACCGCCCAGCGGGGCACATGCAGTGCGCGCACCTGCTAGCGCGTTAAGGCTTTTTTTTTTTTTTTTTTTTGCTTTTTTGCTTTTTTCTTTTTCTTACTCCCTTCTCTCTTTCCTATGTGTATCCACACTAGTGACTTTTTGTGAGCCCCAGGGTGAGGTGGATGATAGAGAAGAACGAGATAGAAATAAATTTGATCTCCTGCAATGTAAGGTTTTTTGTAAGGAGAGAGAGGAATTGTTGGTAATTCGTGCGTGTCTCGCGTACAACGGTGCTCAGCCAGGCGCGTTAGCTGGGTAGTTTTATTTTAATTTTTTTCCATAGTTTTCGTGTCAAATGGCTTTTTTTTTTCTTCCATTTTTCCTCTCTCCTCTCTCTCCTAATTGGATCATAAAAAACGGTGAAAAAACTAAACTAGTGTGGATGCTCTAAATATTACTCCCTCCATATCATTTGATGTGTCTGGTTCGATTAACGAGACTTGACTGAAATTATTTTAAATCCAAATTTTCACAATATTAAGTCTAGTATTAGTATACAAAATTTATATATTTAGAAACTATATTAAATGTACTATTAAACAAAAAATTCAAATTTAAAAATAAGTAAAAAAATATTAAAGAAATAAACAAAGAATAAAGAGATGATTTGACCAATAAATAGTAAATAGGACATATAAAATGAGACAGAATGAGTAATTATTATCGATAGAGTATTTTTGAAGTTGAGTTATACTATATATACTCGCAAATCTTTCTCTCCTAAATTTACTCCCTGATGTGACGGACTCTATTTTCTTTATATGGACCCCTATAAAAGTGTTTATATCAATATCAATATTTTAAAGGGAAAATGACACTTTTTATCCCTGAATTATATACTTATAGCACTTTTTCCCCCTCAATTATTTAGGTAAGCACATTAGCCCCCTCAATTATTTTAAAAGTGGTGCTTTTTCCCCCTAATATATTAAATTGACATTTATACCCTTAAAATAAACATTTTATTTATTTTACTACTCCAACAAATTATTGCGTATACGTAGGGATGACCACGGTTCGGTTTGAATTGAACCGGATACTAAAGCAATCGAATTAATAGTTTACGGTTATAATTCAGATCTAGAACCCAATATTTAAATGTCAATTTATTAAAATTATGTATCAAAAAAATTGAATCTTGAATCGTGAACCGGCGGTTCCGGATATGATTCGCGATTTTGAACTGTCTTTATTTTAAAATTTTATTTTTTTTTAAAAATAGTCTAAATTCAACAATAAATGTATTTTATTTTTTCAGTTCGGAACATGAACCGTCCATTCCGGTTCACGATTTTAATAAACTCTAAATATTGAATTTCGATTCTAAATTGTAATTGGAATATTTCGGTTTGGTTGCTATAGTGTTTGTTTAGTTTGAACCAAATTATGATCATAATTTGTTGGAGAAAAAAATAAATTAAATATTTAGTTTAAGGGTAAATATGTCCATTTAACATTTCAGAGGGAAAAACATCAACTTCAATAATTTCTAAAAAAAAATGCTATAGGTATTTAACTCAGGGGCAAAAAGTGTCATTTTCCCTATTTTAAATGTGAGAGTAGAAAATAGGATTACATATAAATACCTTTGAAGTTAGAACGGTAGAGCGTATGAAAGAGCGGAGGGTAGGGCCGTCATTTTGGTGGGTGTCCGGACAAAAGGTACCACAGTGACGAGAAAATGTAAAGTCATAATCAGAGCCCATTTAATTGCGAAGAACCCAACAAAGGCGCGACAGGGCCCACCGTTGTAGGTGTAGTAGCTATTTTAGCTTTGGTACCCCTAAGACGGTATAACCCGGACAAATCGGGTTACTACTCCAAGATCCATTTGGCAATTTTCCGCCTTCGCTTTTATCCTTATCCTGGATAGCTTCTCACTCACGCTCCCCTTTTATGTTTTTATCCCACGTCCCACAATTGCCACGTCCATACCCCATACAAGTTTTATTTTTAATGGTTAAATAATAAATATTACGAATAATTTTAAGTAATTTAATTTACAAATGGTTAGGAGTAGAAGGGGAGGGAGGAAAAAAAAAAGGAAAAAGACTTGTCAGAAAAAAAAAATTGTTATGGTTAACGCGCTCAGCGGGTGCGTAGAGTGTATACACTCAATTGGGCGCTTTTGGTGTGCCTCACGCGTACCAACAACAGTTTTTTTATTTTTTGGTGGGTCCACTGTAGAGACAGAAAACCACCTCGACACCTCCTCTCTCATCTCTCTCTCTCTTCCACCTCACATTTGGCCCCACAAAAAATTAAAAAAAAAAAAATCTACTAATGGGAATGCTTTTATTACACAATAGTTTAGGAGGGCTAGTAAGCAAATTACTAATTAATATAACCATAAACAATTTATTTTTATTTTTTGTGTGATTTACAAGCTATTATATAGGAGTTGTATGCACCCCATATAATGATTGTGAGTTTCTTTTGACACAAAAAAATGCTATATTCATTGATTTTTTTGAAACAAAATCTAGCAAATTTGGTCTAACTCAAGTTTCACCTACATATAAGTTTGATGTAAATGCTTTAAAAAAAAAAAATCTAATTTTGCTTATTTGATTTAGTCTTTATCGGTTAAGGTTTTTTTTTTTTTTTTTTTTTTTTTTTTGC